CTCTCGTCTCTTTGCCCCTTTGTCTCCATTACAGATAAACGTTACTCTTTGGTCAGCGGCGACACAATTTCTTCCCCAGTGTGGGAGCAGGTTTAAAATTGGTCGCAGGTGTGCAGCGGATGAGACCTTTGGATCTTAATCTTGAGGCAATAATGGAGCTGTATACCAAAGAGGTCACTGTGGGGATATCTAAAGAAAGAGCTTAGAATCATACCTGCTCTTAGAGGCAGCAACAATGAACTTTCCATCTTCTTGATTGTGCAAGCACACTTTATGAATTGGGCTGAAAATTGATTTTTATTTTTTTATTTTTTTTTTGTGGGAAGTCTGCTTTTGCAGTGGGTTTGATTTAGCACTTGACTAGCAAAATAGATTGTTGGATGTTGAGTACCAGGCTTTGAAGTGCTATACACAAAATAATCAGAGTAATAAGTCTATTCTATGCTGTTGGACTTTTCATTAACTAAAAAAAGATTGTGGCATGGGGAAAGGATTGAACTTTAACTGAACTGAACTGCGAGAACATTAAGAAATAAGAAACAGGAATGAAGGGATGACTTCACTTATAAAGAAAACTGAAAAATCCACAATTATTCTTCTTCAATGCTGAAACTTTATTAAGCAAGTCATCTGCACATATAAACATTCGCTTTATCTTCCCATGTTTCCTGTCTCTGTCATTACTGTGTCTGCCGAATGAAGGCAGAAAAATAATGTTCAGAAACAGAAAAAAGGTGTCTTTAAGGTATAAATGAAAATAGAGTACTGTACATAAGTTCATTTGTTTAAATTTATTGCTATGAAAATAGGAAGGTGGTGTCGCAATTTATTGAAAAATGGAAAAATTTATGGAAAAGTGTCTTATGACTTTAAATGGTATTTATGTGACTTTCATTTTTTGGCTCACAAAGTGAAATAACTAACAAATCCCTAATAATGACAAAGTTGCTGATGTGCAAAAAGGCAGTAACACAAACAACCCCAGAAAAGACTTAAAAATACAAGATCTGATAAGGCCAGAGCATTTCAGCATGTTTGACTGTTTTTGCTTTTTTAGTAGCTTTTGGTTCAGATGCAGATGGAAATTGTCAAACTAAAAAAAAACAAAAAAAGTGAAGCGTTACCTTGACTTGTCAAATGAAGATAACACTTGCTATCATTTCACGAAAGTCTATACACAGAATTGGTTTCAAGGACTTCTTCTTAAATGTTTCTATTAGTGTTTCAACAAGTGGCAGCCAGAGCTTCCTTAGAACAAGGCAGGGGAAAAAAACAAAACATAATTACAGGGTTCTTTCCAAGTTTACTGTGAAAGATCTACTGCCCTTCATTAGAGTGGATAGTGGGTTTAGGTACCATGTCCTAACCTCTAACCATTAGGGGTGGGGGGGAAAAATCGATACTGTGTAGTATCGTGATATTTTGTTTGCTAATAATGTAATGATACAGGGACAGCAGAAATCGATATTTTGTTACAAAAAAGGTTTTTGTGCTCTGACTTCAGAGCATGTTGATCCTTTGTCTGAGCAAGAATCCTGACTGTAATACAAACCGTTCAGTTTGTCAACAATAAAACTGACTGAAATGAGAGAAAGACTGAGTGCGAGACTTTGATATTAGATAAAATGAATATTGATAAAGTATGTACAGAATCTGAATATCGCAAAATATTTTTTTTAAAAATCGCAATAATATCGTATCTTGCGTTAAGTATTGTGATAATATCGTATCGTGGGATGTATGGTGATTCCCACCTCTACTAACCATAAGATTGGAATTAGTGCGAGCTATTCTGACAATCTGACACGACTAGTTTTTGTTATAACACAGCCCCCGACTCCAGAAGCACATTGCCAAACGCCATCATGCCATGGCAATGTGCTAAAAGTAGCGATAACAGCCATCGTTAGCTTTTCATTTCACACCAAAATACGCAAAGGTGTCCATAATTTAAAACCAAATCTAACTTTAGTCATTGGTTGCTTCTATATACACACGTATATAAGAAGTATTGCACACAGTGCTCATGTTTTTGGTGCCTTAGAGATGTCTGCACGGTCTAAATAACATCCCAGCATACATAATCCAGTTGGAATTCTGGCTGGAGAGCCAATTTGGATTTTCGGAGTGCTGTGTGTGCCCACACCAATAACTCTGAAGATGTGAAGCTCTCTGAAGGTCATGTCTTCTTTCAGTCATTTTATGAGGATTTCTGAATATGACTTATAAGACATCTCCCCGTGGCTACATTGTTTTTAGCTGGCCTCTGTGGGAGGAGGTGCAATCACTAGACAACATGAAGTTGGTCTAGTGATTGCACATAAACTTGAGCAGCAAGATAATCAATAAGACATCCAACCATAAACACATAAATATCAATATTTTTGCAATCCCCATCCAAAGGACAGGTATGAAATTCCAGTCTAATCTATGCGATAGACCTTTCTTCCTTCTTAATGGGCCATAAGGCAGCTTCTAATCAATGACTCATCAACAAATAACAGTTAAATTTAAGGCAATAGCTCAGGATGGAGTGATAAAGTTGCTCAAATGGGAAACTTTTGCTGTACTTTTCAGCAAGTTGCCATCGATTGGACTCCTGCAGCAGAGTGAAGGCAGGTAATGAGGAGTGATGTCCAATAACAGCAAAGTGCTTTACAAGGTATTAGGGTTTCACATTTAATTGAGAAAGAGTGTTGTTCCTTTATTAGATAGAACTTCACTGTCGTGCACTGCTGCCCACCAATGGTTAACTGCTCTATTGTGGAAATGGCTTATGTGGGGAATTAGTCTGGTGGTCTAAAATAATATTTGTGTGCATGTGTGTGTGCACGTGTGTGTGTGTGTGTGTGTGTGCAGTGTAAAGAGAACCACCGAATGAGTAAAGGAATAACTAATGCATCATAACATAATAATTATTTCCAGTTGTATAGGGTTATGTTCTGCATGTAGGATCAGTTTGGAATATGTGCCCCAATGTTTATACCACATGAAAGCAACAACTGTACACGCTGGCTATGAGGGCAAAGTATTCTGCAAGGCCACGGTGTCTTTGCTGTGTAGCAGGAAAGACGCTCAACAGGGTAACTGTTGAGAAACCACCAGAGAGCCATGCCGTTTAAATAACAATACCCATAAATACTTCTGCAAGTTAAAGAAACAGCATCCAAAAGCAACATTTTGCTGAAAACCTTTTAATATTCAGAACACGGATAGAATCCTAAATCAACAAAATGTCTGGATCGGTTTATAGAGGACCTATTATGCTCATTTCCGCCTCCATATTTTTACTCTTGGATTCTAGTAAACTAGCTTTATGCGAGTCACGATTCATAATAATCCACATTTATCTTATAGTAGACACTGGTGTAGTTCACGCTATGTCAGCAAGCAGTTTTAGTTACCCTCTCCCTCCCTTGAAGTCAACTTTCTTATCTCGATCACAAGGAGAAGGTTTGAAAAGCAGTTCTTTGAGGCATGTTCTCGGACAGCTGTCTGCCCGAGATGACATCATCCACATTAACAGTAGAAAAAACAAAACAAAACTGTTGAGTGTTTACATCAGTCTGAAGCCTGAACCTTTGGATTATATGGATTACTTGCACATACACATCTATGCAACTATATATATATATCTATTTATAATAAACACACACACACACAACACTGTATGTTGGAAGAGTGTAGCATGTGTGAGGCCATATAATAAAATATTTATGTTATGGAGTAAAGCAGACTCTTGCCAAATTATCTTGTAAACTATGTGCTGCAAAGATGGCTTCGAGGATCAAATAAAATACAGGATGTCAGCCCACATAAGGTCTGTCCTATTTGTGAGATGACATATCTATGTCATAAACTTTTTGTGAACTTTGCCTGTACCACTCTAGCCAAGCTGCCTGCAGGATAGGAATCAGACTGTCACTGCTAGAGAATTTCAAATACTCAGTCCTACCTGGCGTGGGGGACGTCAATGCTGGAGGAGACTACTTTGCGTTTCTGCTCCAGCAGGGACACCGATCGGGTGTCAGAGTCCCGGCTAACACGTTTTCCGTCCGTTGAACGCTGCTCCTCCGCTGGCTCTGGGCTCAGACAGCCGCCCTCCACCTTCTGGCCATCTGGAGCTCCGTTACTGGAGCTCTGCTGTAGAGAGGCGAAAAAAAGAAATAATTCAGTGCTTGTGCAGAAATACCACATAAATAAGTTGGAAGAAATGATGAAGTAGCAATCAGCTCCTTCAAATTGCCTCTTTTTTTTTATTTAACAAGGTCGTAATGATAAATATTTTCTGCAATTCTGTTACTGGTGAAGAACACATCTACAGAATGAGTCCATTTTAATTTATTATTAAAGAGAGGAACCAAAAGTAAAAATAGACAGAAAATAAGGTCTGGGCATTGGCTGCCTCAAAACCTGGCAGCTAAAATTTGAATTTGAATGTTTACATTTTAAATGTGATAGAACACAGTCTAAATACGGTTTAAGAAAATTTCCACATTCTTGGGCCTAAAAAAAGTCTTTGCCAAAACACACTGGATAGAGTCAAAAATGAACAGTGGTCAGTTACAAAACCAGTCTATTATTCTTCCTGCAGACGTTTTGGAGGGATGAGGTTTTCCACAAAAAACTGCACTGTCATGAGCAAAAATATAATAAAACATTACATAATAGCACCACACTTGCTTCTAAAGTAATTTGTTTTAAAAAAAAAACTAAAAGAAAATTTATTTTTAAAAACAGCATCATCTGTACTTTCACAAACACCATCAGGTTTTAGTGGAAGAAATGTGAGCAATTTATTGATAAGGCCAGAGAGAGAAAGAAGGGTTTGCATGTATGTATGTATCACAGCCACCTTATTAGGAACATCTGCTTAACTCCTTGGTAACACAAATATCTAGTCAACCAACCACATTTCAGCAAGTTGATGCATTTAGCCATGCAGACATGCTAAATCTGTCCTTACTAGGCCTTACTTGAAACTGATGGCCTTTCCGGCTTTTTAATGCTTAAAAAAACAAATTATATATATATTATTATCCTAAGTCTTTGGTCCCAGACATTTTTATACACAGAAAAAACCCTATCATTGTATTTTAAACAAATACATAGAGAGGAAGTATATTTCACTGGTTTCACTACATCATCACATTGGTTACTTATCTCCCATAGCCAAGCCTCAAACAGAGTGGTTTTGTCAGATATAAGAAGCAAGG